GACGATTTTTCTCCAAATTGTTTATAGTTGATAGTTCATCACGCGTGTAAAATAAGATTTAGTCAGTAAATGGTAAAAATATTGAAAATATGAAATATATATAATCAAAAAACAAAATTTAAAAAATGCTATGTGAAGATCACTTTTCCGTTTAACAAAAATGATAATTTTACTGAAATGTTAAGTACTATTCAAGAATAAATATTTATAAATAGTTTATGAAGCTAAGTATCTATTTAAATGTAAGACACTTTTACAGCTTTAATACCAAAATATTTCAAGGAATCGGAATATCTCCGGCACAAAATATTACACGTCCCCACGCTACACGGTCACCGGTCCAAATTATCTTCCGCGGCAAGTGTAGATGAGCCCATGTCCAATTTCTCCAAGTTTGATGTCTCATTTTTCAAATTATGGAAAGCATATTTTTGGAAAATCACGCTTGTAAATAAACTATGTGCAAGTCTTATTTATGTATTTGTTACAGTCGTCAGTGTCAGGTCAGGCCACACTTTTTAAATTAAAAAAAACAAGTTGATAAATGGGTGGGGAAGTAAATGTATCAATATTTGTACTTATGTACATATGTATGTGTGTTTGTTATGGTGTATATATGTATACATAGATATATTTATAAATAAATAAATATTCTATAAATGTCAAAATTATGGTCTCTCTCACTTTTTTAAATTATGAAAAACATATTTTTGGAAAATTATGGTCTCTCATTTTTTTATGGTGCATTAGAAAATCATGCCTGTAAATAGACTACATATGTAAGTTGGGTATATATAAAAAAAATATCATCTTAATTTTTATAAATAATTTATTCCGAAAACGATTATTCTTAAAATTTCTCAGTCCTCTCTTTAAAAATAAAATCAATTCTCTTGTGTTTATCTTCAAATCTGTCTTTTGCAAAAAACTGTCCCCAACACACACTGAACAAATCAACGTCACACTGCACACCTGGATTTGATATGAATCTGTAGATTGGGTTTTGAATTTAATCAATCCCCGTCTTATTTAGGGGTGAAAACCCTTTATGTAAGATTTGTTATGTCCGTCTGACTGTTTTGGCAAGATAACTCTTGAACGGAAAGACAGAGACTCCAAGCCCGTAACATTACCTCGCTCGATATGTCAAGTATATGAACGAACTGATTAGAATGTGGGCTGAAGGCCAAAAGGTCATAGCGTTAGAAATACTTAGAATGACAAGTAGGTCATGTGACACGTCAAATTGATCGGATTTTGAGTGGTCAATCCAACGGAATATGTAATTCTGACCTTTGATGACCCCATGACCGTGTGAACTAGGTCAAAGCCAAGAAATTCAAATCATTAAGTGTGACCGTTTCAAATAAGTTGTTAAAACTTATATGAGACGGGGATTTCAGAAATCATCATCATTTCACCGCATGATGATTCCATGACCGTGTGGACGAGGTCAAGAGATTGAAACGCTCTCAAAACACTGAAAATGTTGACGGATCGCTAAAAACTCTCAAAATACACTCAAACCTAGGAATGGGTAATCCGATCCGAGTTTAAATGGTCGGATCGGATCGGATCGGATTGTTCAATGCTTTAGTAAATACTCGGATCAATCCGTCGGATCGGATTACCCATTCCTACCAAACCCATCATAGAGAGGTTGAAAACGCGAACAATGAACCGTTTCAGAGGTCAACGCCGACCAATTTTGGCGATTTTCGGTAGCGTGGCGCCTAAATGTTGTGGAAATTGGAAATCAAATTTATAACTAGCGGCGGCGTCCGGCGGGGTTGACCTCTGCAAGGTCTACGTGCATATAAACTACTTGGTTTCACCCGTTGGTTACAATCGTTCCAACGATTTATTTTAATATCCGAATGTCGTTCTCTCTCATTACAAACAAAAAATACCATAATTTTAATTCTTATCCCAAGTTCAGCAGATACATGCATATCATCACATACACACACAAGAATATTAAATCTCATTAATAATCCTCCCTCACCGGATTGACGAAATGTAAAATATATAACAAACAAGCAAGAAAGGTCTTCTTTGTGAGTCCTGTGCTGCAGCTGAGGGGAGATCACGACTTGGTTTTGTCTCCAATTCTAAACTGGTGGAATCCTCATTATGAAATAAATAAATGGATGAATAACAAAACTAAAATATAATCCTGAAAGAAAATGAGACAACAACAATGTGGATGACAATGACATTGCATGCAGTGATGTGATATGATAGACTCGCAAGGGAAAAAATGCAGTGTGTAATGTAATGTACATATGCCAGGAAGGATTAGATTCTAGATTATTATTATTATTACACTGCTGAGATGACAATGAAACCTTTAAAGTGCTATTCTCATCATGGTTCTGCTCTTTTTTTGTATTTTTGTCTCATTGTCATTTAATTTAAGGTGGGCAAGCAAAGTGTGTGTTGCGTATGTAAAGATGTACAAATCTAATGGTTCGTGAGTGAGTGAGCATGGGACAAACGCGAGTTTACGGTTTAAATATGTACGTAGTACATATATGATAAGCAGTATTGCATAAATATAAATAAAATTTGCTATATTTTTTAAAAACTACAGTAATTAAACCAGAATTTGAGCCGGAAAAATTGCTTGGCTTCTAATCCAGAAGTCATGTTATAAATAAAATCATATTTGTGAGGGAATGAAGATGAGAATGTTGTGCTGGATAAGGCACTTTGAAGTTATCGACATGTGTGAAAAATCGAAGTAAAGTTATCTTGAAAACAAGAGGAGAATGAAAGATTGTTAAAAAAATAAATGACAAGAAACAGGAAAAAGTTGAGTGGTCATCTTTCTCAAAATCCAGTAATGAAAGTGATTCTGATTTCCGGCCACTTTAATTTTATTATGGCTTGTTTTAAGGAAGTATGTAAACCGCAAACAAACGGCGGCACATCTTTGACATCAATGAATGGATGGAGGAGGAGGGTGAGTTAAATGTGGTTTTGCTGATTGTGTCGCCTGGTCGGCCGACTACGCCAATTAGTGTTTTTTTGTCAATTTGTGAAATAAACTGTCTCTTTACATCAAATATTTGTTTTGTCCTTAAAATAATTAACATTTTGTATACATTTTGCATGTATCAGTAAATGTGTTAATTTGGAGTCATTATAAGAGCTTTTTTGACTCCGTAATAACGTTTCGACGTATATTACTTTCCTTTCATTAGTAAAAGTCTCATATTTTCGAATTAAAAATTGAAATGTATAAATTCCATGCCGTTTTCAGTTTCTGAAAAAAATAAGATATGTGTAATATTATCACCACAGATTTATATTATTTGCGATTCCAGATTAACTACATACTCTCTCCAAACAAACTCCGCACAGTTATAAATTCCTGCATTTGGCACAAAATAATGAACCAATTATTTAATTTCACCTGATTAAAATTATCCAACTCATTTTTCCACTGAAACAATTTTCCTCTTGTAAACAAATACAATGCAACAATTCCACTTATGATGTTGCAATGCAATGCAAAAGCCATATTATTCTCCTTCCTCGTCAGTCAACCTCCTTTATTAATCAGGATGAGAATTCACTAGTTGGAATGAAATGATATGAAATTTGAGGTGCGTTGTGAATGTGAATGAATGAATGACATGTTGACTAAATAAATATAAAGAAATCTTTTTTCGTTGCTATTTTCAGAGTAACAATTTCTTTGTGTTTTGCTTTACACGAGACACATTACATTCACTCACATTCGCTCATTCAATTTTATCCCATTCTTCCCTTGCTTCGTCTCATTTTATTTGACTGTTTCTGAGAATCGAGGAAAAGCAGAGCTGGTGCTGCTGGTTGTATGGGGATGGTCAATTTTCTTTTATTCCAATTCAGCCACATACACAAGAGAATTGGCACGAATAATGATGAGGAGTTGTAAATTTCACATAAATTAGCCCAACTAATACGTTATTACCTTGTATGACCGAGGGAATTATGAATGCTTTCCGAGAAATTGTGGGTGGATTGGATTTTGCATAGTTTGAGATTTGGAATTCAAAAGATGGGCGCAAAGCAAAATTTGCTAAGCAAAATTGCAAAACATCTTCGTATGTATCTAATAAATATGCAGGTAGAAACAAGATTTCATTTAGAAAGGTACATGCGAACCAAATTATAATGAGGGTATTCATTACGAGTTCGCATGTTCGCATCGCAACATAACTTTTTCGAAATTGCGAATTTTGCGAAGCAACGAAGTGAAGACACTTCGCAAATGAAAAAGTTCGGAAAATTTTATTCAACTGCCTTGAATTTTGCAATGGGAAAAATTCGTAAATCGCCATTAGTTACCGAAGTTTTGCGTCTGAAATTTACCAAATACAAAATTTCACAATTTCAAAATGCCAAACTTCGGTAACTAATGGAGATTTACGAATTTTTCCCATTGCAAAAATTGTGAAAATGATTTTGCGAACTAAATACTAGCCCTGGAGATGCACAAGTTCGCAAAATGATTTTCAAGCCAATTTTTTTTGCGAACTTGCGAACTTTATTTTTTTGCGAACGTTGCTAACGATGCGAACTCAAAATGAATACCCTCAATGTTTTATACATAAATCTGATTGGTTGATGGTAACATTATAATTAATAACTGTCTTTCGATTAAGTATTTTCATATGTACATGGATATTTCGGTTATATAACTATTTACAAGTTTTTGACGCGGATGAGACGTGATAATGTAATGATCAGCTACCAATTAAATTAACATTTGTAAATACCTACAGGATATAAATGTTCCTTCGTAACTACCTCGAAATATCTGTTAATTACGTCACTGAAATACCATGATCAAGTACTCGATCAGGTCATGCACATGAAAAAACAAGCTCTTGAACTTCACAAAGAGCATTCTATTTGGAATTATTTAATTAAAACTGGACTGATGATAACAAATTATTTCATCATTTTCTACGTTACAAAAAGTTGATAACCGCATATCAGTAATGTATCTAGCAAATAAAAGGGACGGAAAAAACCAAATCAATACATTAATTTATCGATCCAGTAAAAAAGTAAGCGTTTGGCAAGAATGGCAGGTCAAAAAATACTTTTAGGATGCACTTTCGCCACCATTTTCGCATTGGCGTTAGGTAATCAATCATTTAATTTGGCTATAAATGAAAACATTTTTCTCTTATTAAAATGTGCTGATCCCTATTTCAAAATTTCAATGCAGCTTCTCCAATCACAATTTCGAACTCGACCACCACCAACAAATTCCAGTACATTGGTAACACCGAGGGCAAAATATTTCTCAAGGCGGAACTCATCCCTGCCGAACAGTATGGCGTCACTTGGCTTCGGGCAGTGCAAATTTGTTCCGATGGAGGGTATCAGATGGCGTCTATCACTTCGCAAAAGCAGGATGACATCGTCGCCGCCTTTGTGACGGGGACTGGACCAGATTCCAGGAACTGGATGTGGATCGACGGGTCAAATTTTGCAGCTGGGGGAAATTTGACTGTTTGGTCATCCCTCCATACCGGTCAACCGCTAACCTTCTTCAACTGGGTGCGAGGTCGCCCAGTTTCGCCAGCAACGGCAGGGGCGAGACAATGTCTGAGGTGGAGCAGTAATTCGATGGAGGCTGGATGGTGGGACATTGATTGTACGGATAAGCATAATGTCCTTTGTGAGACGCAAGTTTCAAACTAATGACAAATTTTAAATTTTTCTTGAATTGCATGGTTGGATTTTAATAGTTGCATGTATGTAAATAAAGAGAGTTTAAGATCAATAAAGTTTGTGCGATTGTTGTACTAATTTATATCGAAATCGTAAAAGAATAGATCAGGAATTTTTGGCAATATTTTGTAAAATTACTCAATAAGGATCAAATTCATAAACTGCATTTATTTTTACAGACATTTCTCCGAATATGATGGCAATTATGGGGTTTAGTTTAGAATTCAAATATTAATTAATAATTGATGTAATTGAAAGTCCTTAAAATATTTTGAGAGCCAAACTTACGTTAAATACGTTAATCCAGGAATTTTGTCCTTCTCGATATTTTTATTCGTTAAAGGTAGAAAGATATAATAATGATTGCTATTCGAAAATAGTTCCTTTCAATTAATTAATTTATGATAACTCAACATAGCGATTTATCGAAAGGTTTATTTCAGTCACATTTATTGACTTGATGAAAGAATGTTTGCGATATGTGAAATCATTCGAGTTTTAAGTTCAATTGTTTTTGTGTTCAGCAATTTTTGTACTTGATATTTCTATTCATCAATTGAATCGATGGTGAAATTGGTTAGAGTTAGAACCAAATGTAATGAATGATGTAAAAATGCGACACACTCGCTTATGTAAATCATAAGAGTCGATTTCTTTCAGTTTAGAAAAATTGTAGCATTTTGACGCCAATAATTTTGTAAAGTGAATAAATATATAGTAATAAAATAAATACATAGGTTTGTAAGTGTAGCTTTAAAAATATATTTTAGAAGATTTATCAATTTCTTGCACCCTTCTTATGTGCTCAGAATAATAGTCAGATTTGTGATAATCATGTAAATAAAGCTCCTAATTTTGAGTTAACTTCGATGTTTTTCTAATTTTATAAAAGTAAATTTTTTTTTTCTAGAAATTCGAGACTAGCTTCGTCCTTCCATACCTTCACGTGGCGCCATTTGTTTTTTGACTGCGTTGCGTTTACGTTAGAATCCCACGTTGCATTTTTTTTTATTCTAAAAAAAATTGTTGAACACATACTTTTCGAAAATGGGCAACAATGGAGAGATATTGATCTGCTTCAAGTTTAAGACTTCACGCAATCCCAAGCACTTGAAGCTTCTGAAGAAGGTCAGGGTCACTGATGTGTCCTCTTTCAAGTATCTGAAGAATCAAAGGGAGTTCGGCGATGTGACCTTGGAATGCTGCTCTGACCAGCGGAAACTCAAAGGTGAGTCCCCCTTTAAAACTCATTGAGTCTATTTCTATTTTTCAAATAATAAAACTTTTTAGCCCACAGAATTGTGTTGACCACGTGTTCGGCACATTTCGTTCGGACTTTTGAGGTAGTAGTGTAGTAGCTTCCAATAATTAAATTACAACTAATTGACTAACGGTAAACCACGTAACGTATAGAACATCAACTCAGATCACACCATGGTCCTCGTGAAGAAGGAAGTTTCCAGCAAAGATTTAGAGCTGCTTCTTGACTATATGTACACCGGCGAAATCCGTATTTCACAGGACAAGCTTGCTGGCTTTCTCAAGACGGCGGAATATTTCAAGGTCAAGGGATTTACCCCACCGGATGAAGGTAAACCTTATTTATTCAATTTATAATTATAATAATAGTCACGATTACAATATTTGTGGACACTTTTATATATAAATATTTAAACATTTCTTTCTCTCTTTGATTTGTAGGGCCGAAGCAGAACTGAAGAAGGGTTCAGCACCACACCACCAACTTGTACTACTAACTCTTCAAAACTTTCCTTCTGGATGGCGTTCAATTATCATCCCGACGCCCTAATAAAAAGAAATACACGGATTAGATTTACTCAATTTAAACCCAAAATTATCTTTCAATGACTGTTTTTTGTACGAGAATTTACTACTGACTATTTCTGGGTCTTAACAAATAAATCAGCCCTGTGTTTGAACTCGTTGTTTGTTAATGTAGCACCAGTTTTTTGTTTCACGAGAATTGAATCTTGTGAATAATTGGTAAAACCGGTGCGTGTTGTACTGTACGTGTATTAATTTAAAGTTACAAGTTACCTGTCCACCAGCAGCACAGGCGGCGATGAAAGCTAATTGTTTGTCTTCATGTATCATACGGTTGGCGCAATGGGCAGCCAGTCGGACGCCTGAAACATGACATTCATTAACAATTAATTTAAGCAATAAGTTAGTTGGTTAGTTAATTAGCTCACCTGTAGCTCCGAAGGGATGTCCAATGCTTAAGGATCCTCCCCAATTGTTTAATTTGTTAATGTCGATCGCTCCAGCTTTTCCTGGAAGTTTGATATGATTTTTGCAAAAGTAATCTGAATCGAGAGCCTTCAGATTGGCAAGGACTTGTCCTGTGTAAATACAAAATGTTAATTTTCTCACTCAATTTTGATTATTTGTTATACTTTTATCTCTTTAGTACCTGCAAAAGCCTCATGAATTTCCCACACATCAATATCATTGAGGGTTAAGTTAGCTCTGGCGAGGAGTTTCGGGATAACGTAGGCGGGTCTAGTAAGAAAATTACATGATAAATTGACTTATTATAAAACAACTCATTGTTCTTTGAATACTAACAATAATGTGCTCACCCCAACAATAACTCGTCCTTTGGATCCTGACTTACGAATAAAAAGTCTCTCAAATATGCTTTTGGTTTCCATCCGTGTTCCTTTGCCTTCTCCTCGGTTGTGATAAGACATGCACTAGCTCCGTCCGTCAAAAACTACAGAAAATGATTACAATTAGTGATAAATATTGGTAGAAAAAATTATCTTGTCGACCAGAAAATAAAGTTAAACCTACGCTCGCATTCGCTGCTGTGATGGTGCCGTGAGGCTTGATAAACGCTGGCTTTAACTTTGCCATTTGTTCCTTGGTTGAAACTCTAATTCCGTTGTCTTTAGTTATTATTGATTTAGAGCCTGGTGGTTTTACGGGGATGACATCTAAATTATTCATAGTAATCAGTGAGTTAGTTTGTTAACCATTCGGATTTTAAACTACTTAAATAGCTAATCTGTAAAACTAACCCTTCAAAAATCCTGCCTGTGAAGCCTTCTGTGCGTTCGAATGTGACCTAATGGCAAACTCGTCTTGCTCCTCTCTGCTGATTTTAAACGATGCAGCCAGTCTATCTGCGGAATGACCCATTATTTCCCCCGTTGAGAATTCTGCTATCCCAGGGAGCTACATAAGTCAACACCACATTAGATTGACACTTAATTGATTATTGCTCTGATTGTTAGTACCTCTGGAGCAAAATGCTTCGGTCTTAGCTGCCCCAACAGTCCTAACAACTGCATCGTTGATTTCGCCTTATTCGCCTTCAACATGAGAGCTCGCATTGATCTAGAGTGTCGAATCGGGACATCGGACATGAATTCGACTCCACCAGCGATGCAAACTAGATAACACGAAGAATATAATAATTAGGTTAAATAACGACAAGATAACTTTAGTTCCTACCATCGTAAACTCCACTTGAAATCAAGCCGACGGCCTGTGCGATGGCGACGTTGCTTGAAATACAAGCCATCGTTACTGTGTTGGCGGGGCTGATAGTGAAAGTAATTAATAAAGTAAATACATGTCATGTTTTTTAATATTTTCCACTAATTAGGCTAATTAACTACATGTGGAGTGGGAATCCAGCTCCCAACGACGCCTCCCTTCCCACGTTTGAAGTTTTGACTTCTTGAATGACCGTCCCGAAAGAGATATAGTCGATGAGTGACTTTTGCGCTTCCGTGAGGGACAGCTTATCAGCCAGACCGCTGTAATACATACGCTGTTTTTTATTTGAACATGTAGCAATTACAATATGCATACAACTATTCTTTACTTACAGGAGAGCAAATCTAGCCAGATCGTGAGGCATCATTTTTTGATAATCTGTCCCCGAAATGAGAAATGGTGTCCGGGCGGCGTCAACAAAAACGATATTCTTTCCACCATGGTTGGTCAACTTTCCCTTGGCGGAGGGGGACCGAGGTGGTGATAAATTGGTGGCTGTAATGTGCAATTTAAAAAAAAAACTTTTAAATTTGTAATTTAATTTCCGATTTCGCCAATTCAAACTACTAAATAGAAACTTACCACATGCATGGAGCAGTCGGACATTGGAGGCGTGTTGGTGGAGAAGGGGGGTGGCCCTAGACAGCATCATGTTTGTATTTAATTTTAATTGTCAATTAAAAACAAGCAGCAAGAGATTGGTTCGGTCGGCAGAGTGTGTTTTGTGTTTTGGTGAATGTGATGTCGATGACAATTCCAAAGTTCAAAAGTCCGATTGCTACAACTCAATCTGCCCCACGCAACGTAAAGCGGCACAAAGTGTGCACCTGTTTACATTTCATTTTGTAATGCTGAAACCGTAAATAATTAGTTAATTACGATTATAATATTTGTGTCAGCTTGTGCCAGTTAACATAATGTTGTGAAGAATGCGTCGGAAAGATAACCGTCCCTGGAGGAAATTGGTTAAGAAACTGCGTCGGAAGCGAATTCGACAAAAACTTGCGAGAGAAAGAACTGACTGCATAATTCTACCAGAAGAAGATGTAATAATTTCAAAAGAAAAATCTGCCGATGTTTTGGACACCAAGTATTTTCTAACGAAAGAGGAATGGATCATACGAGATAAGCATAGACAGCTCGTTTCCACAATGAAACTTGCAGAGGAGGAAAGGCTGGAGAAAGTGAGATTGGAAGAAGAGGTGAAACCAAGATTGAAGATAATAATTTATTAAAACTATAACACTACATTAATCAACACTTTAATATTTCAGAAACGAATCCGTGAAGAATGGGAGAAGAAAGAAAATCAAGAGAAATTGGAACACGAAGAACACGAACGGCTGACAATGGAACGTTTGAAGAAGCAGGCAAGAATAATAATACTTCGGTCCGGCGGGATTTCCCTGGATGAGCGAGGACTGAATTAATTGATGATTGATATCCTTTATCATAAAACACAAAATATTATATATTCTTTTGCATGACATAGTTAAGCTATCATTAGGCAAAAATTTATTACAACACATTTTCCTTAACCTTTACAATTGCTATAATACAATCCACAAGCTATTTGAAACATGTAGAACTGGATGGTATGGTGGTTGATTACAGGGAGAAGATTACGAGCAATTTCTGGACTTTCTTTGTGGGGTGAGACATTGTGCATGTTTATTTTAGTCATTTAAGAGGATTTTGGTTTTGCCAATTTTATAGAAGCGTTAATCTGAAATTTATAGGACATTGAAACACCTCCTCTGCCCTTTGTGATGCCGGAAGGATATGACAGCACGGGACAAGAAACTTGCAAACTTTTCGTCAAAACGGGGGCTTGTCGGTTTTTCGATAGATGCAAATTGTAAGAAAATAATCAAACTCGCGATATTTATATTTATTGACTGAATCAAATTGTCTTATTTCAGATTACATCCAACTCCAGTTTTAAGTCAGACACTTCTAGTCCCAAATTTCTTTAGTCATTTCCTTCTCCAGGAAAGTCTCCGAGATGAATACGATATGGATTTGGGCCTGGAATATGAAAAGTCGGAGTTGCAGATAGAGTTTTTGTACGTCGTTATGTGTTATGTATTACATATTTGTATTGTTCAATTGGAATTGGAGTGAATTTTTTATTTCGATACTTCAGAGAATTTTACCAAGATGTCCTTCCCGAATTTCAAAAACACGGGAAAGTTATTCAATTTAAAGTTTGCTGTAATTTCGAGGCCCATTTGAGAGGAAATGTTTACATTCAATACGACAATATTCGTTCAAGTGTGGAGGTATTTACGACAACTGATTAAATCATTAAATTATTTTTTTATGATTACATTTATTCAATTTGCAATAGGCATTCAGAACCTTTAATGCAAGATTTTACAACGGACGCCAAATCAGTCTCCAATTTGTGAAAATTGATTCCTGGAGAACGGCAATTTGTTGGTCATTTCTGAACCGTCACTGCGTCAAAGGAGGTTCCTGTAACTATTTGCACGTATTTCGAAACCCAACCAAAGAATTTGTTTCTGCCGATCGAGATTTTAAACCTGTTCCGTCCTATCGTCCCTCACTTCCTGAGCAGAACCGTATGGCCGCTGCTGTTCTCTCATCGAGTCAAAGAATGTCTTGTCCTGATATCACTCCCGTTGGCTCTTCTTGTATGAGTTCAACCCCAAGTACTCCTCGTCATTTGGAAGATCGTAATCGACCATTAGATAAAAGTAGCGGTTCAAATGATAGAAGTTCGTCCAGACATCAACCCTCTCCCTCTCGAACGGATCGGAAACGGACAAAATCTACTAAGCGGAAGCGTAGCAAATCTCGTAAATCTAAAAAGCATAAAAGATCTAAATCTCCAGGTCATAAAAAACATAAAAGCAAAAAATCTAAAAAGACCAAGCATAAAGAAGACTGATTATTTTATAAAAAATCTAAAATCTCAAATAAAACCCAAAGTTTTAATTTACCAACAAAACTAGATAATCTGCCAACCAACTTGATTTGTTGTAATTTTTTCAATGCACACTAGAATCGCTAGTATTGTTTTTTCCTCAAGGTTAATAAACTGACATATGTAACATGACAATTCAAGCCAATTTAAGGAATTGCAGGCCACCAGCCTTCACCACCGTGTATGTGGTCCGTCACAAAACACATTCCTTATTTATTTATTCTTATACAATAGGTTTACTTACATAAAAATGCAACACATTTTGTGGTTTTGTTATGCTTTACCCATTTCCAAGTATCTTCACAAATCCAAATAAATCCTAACCATGGAAGACTATGTAAAATGGACCATTTCCACCAATTCAAGACCTACAAATGCAGACGTTTATCCCCCAACTTCGCTCAACTATTTAACTACTGCGTCTCATGATGAATGGACCTCTTCTACCTGAATGAGACTTATGGCTGACTTGCACAAATATCTGTAATCCGCTTTCTGCTATATGACATCCTTATCCTTACCTTCGCAGCGCAGCAGTCTTGTGGACAACACTTTGGATGATTCAGCATTTAATTAAATCTATGCATGTAAATGCCTTTTGGCGAATTTGACGAATTGGATCTCTATGAGTGAGTGGGTCCGACAGACTTCAAAGAATTGAAGAAAGCAATCGTAATGAGCACAAAATGTCATCCTTTCATCATCATCAACAACAAACGTGTTATTTCAGCGATGCACAATTTTTAACCCTCATTTCATTCAAGATGGATGATGCATGAATGCATGTTCAGCAAGCAATTAATTCTACAGCGCTTATCACCTTCATTAATCTGCAACAATTAAACGATGTTGTTGCCTGTCATGTCGTCACTTGTGGTAAAACATGAATAAGACTTGATTCAAATAAAATAAATTTGATGTGATGTTTTAAATTATGAAGTTGTAGATCGTGGGGACATGCTACAAGCTGACAGGGCTAAACAGAGGGTAAAAAAAGAGTATGCATACAAATGAGAAAATTACTTTCGTTTCAATGTTTTAAAATCTGGATAAAAATATGTATCGCAAATAAAATTATGCTTTAATATTTGCAATTATTTAGATTTTTAGTAATTAAAATTAATATGTGCCAAAATTCGCAAAAAGTATTATACGAATTTGATAAAAATGCAGTAGAAATGAAAGTGGAACTTTAATATTTTGTGGACTCCAAAGATATCAAGTTCAATTCAATGTTTGTTCAACTTGATATTGCAGGGTTTCAAGATGACCGTTTAACACGAAAAATTCATGTCGGTAAACAAAACATTTTTAAAATTTAGTTAGAGATTAGATCCATCCCACTTGCAATTGATCGATATCTGATCCATGTTATAATTATAAGGTGTCATCAATCAAGAAAAATCTCCCCAATTAAAAAAGAAACCAGTATCGCAATAATTTAATACTTAGAACCATATACATAAAACACAACCCGGATTGGGTGCATGTCCATAATAAACTCCTCTGAAATACGTAATCACGAATCAGCAAATTAAAAAAATCTTGCCAGTTCAACAAACAATTTCGCTTTTCCAACCCTTTCGAGCAGCAGTACGAACTGATGAATCGATTCAATGTACAAAAGTAAATTAAGGGACAGGTTTTGGTAAATTTTTATCCAAAACGGATTTCTCATGTGATGCTGATGCAATGCAACATTCCCAAAATGCACAAAATTGAATTTTAATTCAGTCCGTTCCTTTTACAAGATTTGGCTGCATGCAACATTTCTGTAAATAAAAAATCTTAACATTTGAGACAAAATACCAACGCCTCGTACTTTGAGAATCATCATCGCAGCTCATCTTCTTCTCAGACAAGCTGATGATCCTCCGCGTATGGAATTAGTCATTTCAACCTCTAACAACCCTTATGCAGGTAGGTAGCTTGGAGGTACTTTTTTAGTCCAACTTTTTAGGCATACAACTCCCCACGCAGCTAACTAAAACTAATCCTAAAGTAGCTACCCTTCCCGTATTTATACGTAAGCTTATTCACCCTCATATATTTACCATTTTACAGGATGAATAGCGCCAGGCGGTGGTTCTTCTTCTTCTGTACCACATTTTTTTATGACCACATAATATTCACACACGCTGCATGGAATACCTTCTGGTCTGGTCTGGAACTCTGTGTCTGGACGAAGATATAGTGACTGGAGAATTTGAAATGGTGAATTTCTAAACCATTATTCGTCATCTCAATGCAATACAAGAGCACGAGACGGACATGATGATGATGATGATTATTAGGTGCATCTTTCTTTATTTAGTAAGTAGCAGTATTACCTGTTGTATGTATGCATTTCTTCTTTACTATTCTCATCATTATCTAAATATGCATCGTTATTATTCATTATTTTTGAATAGAATTGGCCAGCTCATATTTATTTATTTATATTGTTATCTACAACAATGAAGAAATAGAAATCTGAATTATAAAACCGACCTTCTGTTCCGTTTCGTTATTGATATTTATCCAGAGCACTTTTATACTACGAGTTTTTTGTATGGAAACTGAAATTCTAATCCAGAGCTAGCCAATCCAGTCCAGTTTACGATGCATTACATACTTTACGGTGAGACTGGGCCCTTTTTCATGAGATTCTACTCCACCAGGTTTCCATTTATGTAACGTAACATCGACCCAATGTTATGTATTGTTCATTCTTTCACATTTTTAGTTCTGCCCAGACTTTGGGAGGGATGAGATGAGAGAAAAGGTATTTCTACTTTTTTCCCCACCTTTCATCTCAAATATGCAGTTTCGAAATATATAAGTTCATACTTAGCAAGAAAGACCAGTTTATTTTGCATTCGAGTGCTATATGGCTCGTGGCGCAGATTTGTTCCAATTTTTATGAAAGAAAATACACAAGAACCGTATTTTCCACAATTTTTCTTGGGTGACACTTTGTCAAGTCTGATTAGATATAGAGGTCAGGAAGTGTATGTATGTGTCAGTGTGTGTTTAGTTTAGTTTAGCACCTTTCAAGAAATTGGGTGCAATTGGCTCAACTCCTCCAATTACGGGAGGATAAACCAAACCGTTTATCGCGACAATGTTCAGTTCAACAGGTAGTTGGCAAGTTGAAGCTACAAAAATATACAATCTTCGTACTTTCTTGTGCTGGGAATTCGTAAAGGATGATACTCCACACTGATAATGTTTCGTTAGTTCATCAGCATTGCATTCTGTGAAGTTGCGACGAGGTAATAATGCTATTCTTCTGTGGACTCTCTCTCTAACCAAAATGTACATAAGAGGACTTGCACTAACAGCAGCAAGCAGCTTTTACATGTAACAACGGAATGTCTACTATCTTGCAGTAAATACGACTCATTTGTATACTGCTCAGTCAAGCTTAGACTTTTTAGGAGAGTGTTGTGTGTGTTGTGTGCCGTGGTTTTGGTTTGGTGTCAACGTCAACTATGTAAAAGTGTTCGTCGCATTGTTGTGTGTGGGTGCATATAATATGCATAACTTGGAATATGTGACATGTAGTGGCAGGTAAAAATTTTACCTGAAAAAAAACGGTCATGTGAAGGTAAAAGTCCCCTGAAAATTATATATCTACCAATCAATAGTGAACATAAATATATTTATAAATTGCTCAAAACGGTGTTGAACTTTTCCGAGAATATTTTTGTTCTATTTTTGGGAACAAACTCACCTGAAATTTTCTACCTGTAAAATACAAAATACCCCACCGAAACGAAGCATGTTCAGCTTTGTGGTGTAGAACGGAAGGTATTTAGTAGTGGACAAATAGTGACTAACGAAACTACGACGAGTAAGAAGTATCTCATCCAAGTGTGAAAAGTACCTTCTGCAACGCAAGGATCATAACCAAACTGCTACAACAATGTAGTCAAATTGTGAGGATGAATAGTGACACTAACAATTGGTGAGTCATTTTGGTTTATTCATCTCTAAAATGCGATAGAGTACGACGGAGTGGATCAGTCATTCTGTGGCATGGCCAGTGAGATGAGGCAGAATTTAGATACTTTTAGTCACTATATTTGACGACATTTTTCCAAACTTTGGTGCAGAACATACTGTCACCATCAGCATTAAAGAAAGTTTTTTGTGTGGGTTAAAGCAGTACAAAAAATGTAGAAGAGTAAAGTATCAAATATCTCAAACTCGTCCGGCCGGAAGGGTCCACATTTTATGAGAGATCTGCATCTGGAAAAGTTTTAAGTGCTTGTAAATGGTTTTGTGGGACCATGGAACTTATCAATGAAGAAGTAGCCTTTTAAAAAGTTCTCAAAATACGGACTGCATGAAGGGTTGAACTTGGAAAAGTGAGACACATGCGACACGTATGTCTGCATCTCTGGTGAAATATGGTGTTTAAAATTTAAAAATCTGTCTCGTAGGAATTGTGACATAATAAAACGCCGTGTACATGTGTGACATGTTACGTATTTTGCCATGTTTCCGGCTTAAAACGTGAGAAAAGCGGAGACCTGGATGTCAAGATAACATAAAAGTCTGTCTCAGATGAAGTTATTAACTTTTGGTTGGTAGTTAAGTTTTAAGTTTACTAGTCGGTGCAGTCAGTAGCAGCCCACACAGCTACATACATTTATTCATCAAATTCATCAAGTAGAAAAACTACCGTGCAATTTTGTTTTGCTTAATTTTATAGACTTTGGGCTTGGTTCATTAAGTTTCCGTCGTGTATGTGTACATGTCGAACTAATAATTTTCTGGTGTGGCCCACTTCCTCCCACTCGTAAATACTCTTGTGATACATCATCATCATTATCATTTATTGTTACGCAATCCAAAATCCATCCCCAATATTTTTTTTCATGGGGGAATGGCCACACAGAGAAATAAATAAATAAACAATTTTTGTCTGCCTCTTCTTCTCAACCGGACATTTTATCTGACGTCAAAAAACTGGAACTTTTATACATATTTAGTGTCTGTATTAGAAACTTAATAATTTCGATTTTTGATAACAAAATATAATAAAAACCGGTTTGTCAGAGGAAACAGCAACTACAAACAGTGTGAGAACTGTAGATTGGATTATTGGAACCGTTAATTGTGCCCAGGTATATAATCTCAACAATCAATTTCAACATGTTTTTTTTACTTGGCCGTCGTTGTTCTGTTCTTACTTATCAGTTATGATGATGATGATTATTAGTGTGAACACATTTAATTGATCATTTTTCTTTATGCTTTTGACTTTTGTGTGATCTTAAACTGACTAAATTATTTGACGTTTAGCTGCAAAAGAGGACAATATAATAAGGTGAATGATTTATGGAAAGAGTCAATTAACCCGCTGATCCATTGTTTATAAGAAAAATCACCGTTAGTCAAAAAAAAGTTACAACAATTTCTCTTGGTTAAGGTCGAGGTTGCTAAATAATAGATTTTTTTCATGTGTCAACTGCGCCCACGAGTGTTTTTTAGCATGCAAACATATTTGGCGAATTCGGGCAAACTGAATAAAATCAACGGTCAACCCACCAAGAAAGATTTTCATTTGACGCTGTTGTTTCGTGAATTTATGGCCGTGCCAAAATTGTGGCTTATTAGCATAAATGAAAGAATATTATGAGTTGGTGGAAGTAAGTAACCCACTCTTGGTCTTGGTGAATACGTACACTTGACACTATATGATAGCACGGTTGAATAGGTAGTGGACACCTGAACGTAAAAGTATTTGCATACAATTCTTCTTGGCAAGGTGTGCAGGTTGGCATTATTTTATGGTGGTGATGACGATGTGGAAAGTGCGGATACCTGGTTTCACGTGTCTTTTATTTAACGGACGATTCATTTTGTGTACGGGTATTTGCAAAATTTGGCCGTTGGTGGGGACGCACTTTGCATATGCAAAAAAAAAATTCAAAATTTATTACAAAAATTCTGGAAACCTGAATATACAATATGAAACTTAGATTTTCAGAAATTAAGTTTTTGGCGTTATTCTTAATCAATTCGTAAAATGAAGGATTTTGATTTATTTGTTGAAAAACTTTTCTCAAAATCCATTACTTTTCAAAAACATTTTCTTTGCACAATCGGATATACAAAATCGGAGATACAAAATACGAAATCCAAGCTCTCAGAAATTTACTTTTTGACGTTGCTCTTAACCAAAAGCTACTTATTTATTTATCTATCTTATCTAATTGAAAATTACATTTCCTTATCAAGTTACGGAGATTCACTTACAAAGGAATCTCGTAAAAATTAAAGCAGCCGCAGCCGCCAACCTAAATTACAGTCTTTTTTATTATTTATTTGCATCCTGTAAAAGCCCTCCTTATACGTGTAGACAGGTAATTATTTCGCCATTCATTTCACTTTAGTACAAAAAGCTTGCAACGCATCACATGAAATGAAATCATTGATTATCTTTTTCTCATCGTCGTCGGCTCTTCTTCTTCTTCTTCTCGTCGTCGTGACCGTTTGATCTGGTTTTACATTTCTGTATAAAACTTGTGTGCCGTATTGTGCGATGTGGTCTCGATAAGATTACAGATTTGATGCTCTTAACTTGTCGAAGTTTTCAATTGCATTATTTTTTTGTCTCTTTCTTTCTTTCCTCAATTTGACTCTGATTGAGCCGAATGCATGAAATTAATCGAATTATAAACCACACTGAACAATACCGTATTACACGCAGTGGGGCTTAATTTATACAGGATTATACCCACCCAAACAATTACAAATTATGTACGTACAATCCTCCCAGACAGAGAAGAAGACATACATAATATCAGTGGCCGCGGAAGTGTGTGGACAATGTCCCCACGGTTATTCGATGTCCCCATCATCTCCCCATGTTATATAAACTCCGCCCTCTCCTATCCTACAATGTTAATGTCCCCACAGCCTCCACGGCCACTGCGCAGCATACCGTCAACCGTTGTTTTTCTTGCCAGCCAGCCCATTCATCTAGCGACTTAATGGTGTCGTAATACGTTAAAGGATTAGAATGCTAATTCATTTTTAATGCAGGGAACCCACAAACGAACGACGGCATTCCATGCATCGTCTCGTACATGTAACAAACAATTGACGACAAAATGGCAAAGTCGGCTTTATTACCCCAAAAAATTTGTGATGTTGATTCATCCAAAGAAGAAGTGGTGTGGCAATAATGATGCCGTTTTCATTAAAGAACTTGTCGCAATGATGCAATAAAAAAGTGAGGATTAACCCGCAATTTGTTATCATCTGCGTATAAAATGCATGTATTATCAAGCAAGTGTTTCTGGTATAGATATAATTCATTAGTTGAAAATATTTTCTCCTTCATACACAAAAGTTTCAAAACATGTGGGTGAATTAATAATCCCTGTATTCAGAACGTTTGTATGTATGAAGAAGTCGTGATTTGTGGCCGTGCTAATTACTGAGAAGGTCTTTGTGATGGAAATTCATTCAGAATTGAGAATAAGTCCGGAAGAAGAACAAGCCAAACTAATAAATAAATAATGATGAATTAGACAGAATTAGTTTTCCGTACAGGTGCGGGTGCAACGCAAAAGTGCAATAACAATAACTACAAATAGAATGATTCATTATAATCAGATATGCATACGTACATAGATTAAAATAAATTGCAACATTGCTATTTTGCGAACCTTGCAATTTTTTTACATATGGTTTTCGCTATAAAATAATTTGTCATAAAGTTCTCTTCCTACCAAATTCTTGATACTTATCAAATAATGTTTTTTGTCATGCTTTGTTAAGTAATCCGAATATTCGAAATTTTTTTTCATCCATTTTTTTCTCATCCTTCCTCTCAAAAATATAATCCAATCCAATCCACCCAAAATAACTGTATTCCTGCCAATCGTGCTGTGTACTCCCTGTGATAATTTACCATTGAGCAAGCAATTACCCATTGTTGAAAATCACACCACAACAACAACGGCAACCTTATCCTGTAATACGCCTCAAGAAGAAGAAACTAGAAAAAAAATCCACTCAAGAAGACTTTGCATGCACTATTATCAGGCCGTTTCTGGTCCAAAATTGCAGCAGACAACAATTCATTCATTCCGACAAAAATGGGGAATATACGGGCAGTATTGTTCCCTTTGTGCGCACGGTAGCGGTTGCCTGACAGGACATTTAACTTGTTATTAAAGGAAAATTTATAAGACACGAATTACGAGTAGCGCACACCCGCACGCGTCCATCCATTCCATCGAATGGGTCGTTAACATTTACCTATTTATTCTTAATGTCGACAGCTTTGTGTGTCGATTTTTATAAATGAGGGAGGATTTTGGGTGTAAAGTAACAAACAATGCAGGTGGCAAGGCGTACGTGAAATGAACAAGAAGAATGGGCAAAATAATAAAAATGAAGGACAAAGACGTTAGGTAAACGAATTCAGGAAACCATTCGAGATTACAAGATTCGATATCGTCTGGTTTTCTGTCAAAATCCGTTTGACATACTTAATTGTTGTCGCAGACGGAAAAATACTTGTGTATTTTTATTACTGTTTTAAAATTTAAATAAAACGTCAAGAAAAGTTGACGTGTCGTGTGTGGCCTGTTAAGTTTGCGCTGCCACGTTTATTTTATTTGGACATTCATTATCACTTTCGTTTAATTACGTTATCGCAATTAAGTTATTGCTTGAACTGAGTGCATGGTAGTGAAAAAAAAATGAAAACGAGTATTTACAGTATTCATAATATTATGAGTGTACAATTTGCATTTCCACATGAGATTTGTGTAACAATAATGACAATATTTATTTATGAATAAAGAATGGAAAGCGGACAATGAACATTTTCTAGAGTTTACGACCGATTACGAAACGAGGGCAGTGAGGTGACATTTTTTCACACGTAATAACAACACGAGCTTAATTGTGGCAGTGACAATGAAGAAATATAACAGCATGCATGCAGTTAGTTATTTTTATGGTTTGGCTCATAATATTTAGCACGTTTTACAAAGCAGAACGAGATTATTATTATGCGTACGTGAAAATTAAGCAAATTGGATCCATGTAGATGTTAAGCTTGGTGTTAACAAAGTGTCCCAAAAAAATTTGCAATTTGGCTCAGAAATCGACAACCTTTTTAATACTTTGCGATTTTCATGGGTCTACTAAATTAGCAGTGTTTAGCTGCTGCTGTTAAGTTGATAGCGTAAATTTTCATCCTTATTTTCTTTTATTTACATTTAATGGGAGTTGGATTGGAGAGAGAGATAGAAAACCCAAGCGTAATTGTAATTGTAATAACTGCAAAAAATTATCCTTGACACCTGCAATTTATCATGCGAAATTATTTACTCGTATATTTTTCTTTCTAAGCCCTGTAGCTCAAATTGTTCATCCCCATTTTCAGTGCTAAATGATTCATGACACAAATCGTCAATTGCTATAATTAAACTGTGTATGTCCCCGAGCTGTAGATTTACATGTAAATCAACATGAAAGTGTCTTAAATTCAATATTTTCCACAATTTATGTAAGAAATCAGATTTACACGAAAGTCTTAAATTCGATATGTTATGTGTTTCTATAAAAAAATTGTAACGATTTGACGCATTTAATATAATCAAATTCATCACAGGCTAAATAATAGTTCCGTAAAATATCTTGTTCTAAATCGTGTTGTGCGAACTTTACACACAAAATAAATTAATAAGTGGCCTGCCTGCGAACTTTTCAATTTGATCCCCATTATAAAAGTTATTATTTGCAAAATCTCATTAATTTGAAACGACCAGTGTAAGTCGCCGTCTCTTCCCTTATGATTTACGATGCTATAAAAAGTTGCCCAATAATTTTTTAAAAAATAAATGACATTCCATTAAATATTAGATAAAAAAGTGTGTCGTTTTCTTTGGGAAATAAGTATTAATTTTTTTAGAGCTTTCATGCCTATTATTTACAGAATATATTTAGTATCTAGTTTCTCGTTATGTAATCGATACACAATGCAGGACACAGAATATTCTTTAAAAAAGTACAATAAATACAGTCGTTGGTTATTAATGTCTCTTTACTAACAAGGAAGAAAGTCTAAACAAGTGCGTCATCTGCGAAGCATGAACTCGTTGCAGTAAATATTATTAACTTTAAATAACTCCCCGTAGCCAATTCATCCCATTAATTGTAAGTATGATTAAATACATCACATTCCAATTCGAACAAGCCAACAACAAAGATTTTTACTTAATGTGCATCGTCTTCTTCGACACGATTCTTCGCCATTGTCCACTCCTCGCAGTGAACGACCGAATTTAGACAATGCTAAATTGAAACAGTCACAATAATATAAGTAATTGCCAAATGTGGCGTGAAATGGAAATGAAGAAGAAAGTTGTGGTTGATTCAAATTTTTATTTGTGTGTCGCTCGAGAAAAGTTGTTAAATAGATATATTCGATTTCCGTCCCATGATTGAAAATGGGCCGCACCGTGTCCGATACGTTTGTGTAGTTCTGGTTTTAAAATTGAAAAAAAGAACGTTGAGGAATTTGCGGAATTATGAAGTATTTGCGTAAATGGGTGGAAGGAATTCTGGTAAAGATTACGCAATTTTTACGATAAAGATTGTGGGTTATCTGACATCATTAAGTAATAATGAATGCCTCACCAAATTATAACCTGTAGGGAATTATTGACCGTTAAAAAGTCGTAAAGTCAAACAATAACAATGCGAGTTTTTTTTTCTTTTGAGCAAATTAAAGATATTAATTTGACTATTTTTGCAAGCTATAATTTAAAAGCGTACGTATACGTTCTTCTCGGCACATATGCAGTTCATGCCTTTTTAAACAACGGAAGCTGGAATATGTAGGAAAATACACGCAATTTGTTACGGTGGTTTATAACTTGGGAACATATTTATTTAGTTGAAATGCACTGCATGTGCCCATATTTTATTTTATAGTCACAGCAGGGAATGTGCAAAAAAAGTCACTTACTCAACATGAAACGATCGACATATTCGACCAATTGCCACAGGTCGGGTCAACAAGGTCAAAAAATGGAATAAATCTACCGGAAGACGAAACAAATGTAGGGCTTGGACCAGTTTAACTAAATATCTAACATTTAACTTTCTTACTGAATAAAGTCATCATTAGCAATTTTTTTTGCTAATAATTTGCTAAATATTGTGTGAAGTGCGTGCATAAATTTATCCGCTGGTACTAAATATGCAATGATTGGGAATGAGAAACCGGAAGCGTGGGGTTTTTGGTCCTTGTCATAATTAATGCAAACTTTATGTTTAATAAGGAAGCTCAATAAGCGGACGGAATGAATTATGGTTTCAAAAATTGATGGGAATTATTAGTTGCGAAACAAAACCTGCGTGCACACCTAATAAGTAAGCAAATAAATAGCTTGGTTGGTGGGAAATAAATGGTAACATGTTAAAGTAAATAAATAATAATGCGATATTTCAATCTATGTACATACACCACCCTTCTTTTTTACTGGGAGAAAAATTTTATGAGAATCTGTCCCCCCAAAAGTAATGCAAAACTTGAAATAATTACCAAGAAAGAAGGGCTACATGAACATGATTTGGTCAAGTTGATCTGGTCAAGCTATCCCATTTCCGTTACTCACTCGCTAATAAAAAATGGCAATACTTGTAAAATTTATTGCTGTCGATTTAATAAAGATGAAGGGATGATTTTTTGTTAACTTGATATCTTCGTCGTGGGTAAAGTAAAATACACACCCTTAAAAAAAACCTTAATTTGTATACTTCCCTCTGGTCAGGTGAGTAAGTAGTTTGGTCAAGAAAAGTGTTGTGTTGTGTGTGGTGTGGTTTGGTTTAGTTTGCTTGTGTCTGGGGTCAAATTAATATTTAAGAGGCATCAAATTCTCGTTGTTTGTTCACGAAACCAGAATAAATATGTAAACGATATGGTAAATGGTAAATGGTTTTTAAAAGTGTTGTTTCCGGTAAAAATGATGCAAACATCCCCAATCAATTACGTCTTCTCGTCACATATGTATATGCATTCGTCATATCACGAGTTAATAACAGGCTGCCGAATACCTTTTTTGATTGACGTGATCATTAATACCTTGGGTTACTTATGTGCGGAATTACTTAAAAAAATTCATGTCATGATGTCAGATTTAGCTAAATTATTCTGAATCTAATCCAATAATACATACGTAAATGCACGCGCACACACAAAATAAAAAACCGGAAACTGCCATAAATCAGAAGCTGTTGACAGGTCTCGATAATAAGATTTCTGAATCACGACTTCACGCAAAGATATCAAACTCCTACTACTGGTCAGTCAGAGGAATAAAATGCAAGATTAGAAATGTGACCTTGCCTTTAATGGTCGTGCAGGATATGAAATATTTGGAAAATTTATAATAAAATGCAAGTAGTGACCTCATCTGTTATTTAGTTAGCATCACATAATTGCATCAAGTTAAAGTATGGACTGCATTTATGTATGTATCTACGAATTTTTTTCCATGCAAAGAAACACTCACTGAATTATGACAGCAGCACTAAATCAATTCTCGTGAAGTGCATAATGTGCAAAAACACAATTAAGAACATGCATTCGTTATGTTTAGTTCAGTTAAGTATTTATTATTACGAAGAGAGGCTGGCTCAAACATGCCTGACCACTATAATTCATTTAAAGTTGTCATTATATTTCATTTCGAGAAAATGATGGTACAAGTTCTAAGTTGAAATGTAAACAGAAAAAATATAATTTTGTTTAACAGCAGCAGCGTGAACTAATTTGCATTTAAAAGAACTACAAATTATTTAGAACGGGCTGCTTGCTTGGCATGTGTTGGAAAAATAAAAATTACGGTCATTTCGCACAAACAATGGTAAATACATATCCATCTTCTTTGTGTAATGGATATGGCTGAACGGCAAGACATGAAAACATGTCGTTAATTTGTATGTAAAAGCAGGTAGCTAAACTGACTGGTTACACTTTTAACATCACATTGTCATCAGGTTTCGACTAATTATTGCCACAATTTATGTATACAATTATGTAACAATTTCTATTTTTATTTCAGATGAACCACGACCCTTAAAATTTGGGCTATCCAAATTTCCAATCAAGATGCCAGCCGAAACAATGATATCTTCCCCGAGCAGAATGATGACCACCCCAATGCCTACGAATCATCACCATCACAAGGGCACCGTCCTCCCTGCCAACACGAAAGGGCCCAATAATTCCCTCCTCTTCTCCAAAGGGCTCTCCGAAGATCATAAATCACCAAATTCTCGACTTTTGCAACTCGCCGAACGCACCAGTAATCCGGCCCGAAGTCATAATAACAAAGGGACAAGTTCCTCATCCTCGAGTCATCTCCTCAGCTTTAGGAATGTCATATCTCCCTCGAAATCTTCGACCTCTTTTGCACGAAGGAACACCTCCATCCTCAACTCGTCTCAATCTCCAACATCTCCAGGAGAGAAATGTGCTGTGAGACAAAATCCCAAACTTTATACGAGCTTCTCTTCCAAGAGTTGTTCCAAACTGACCAAAGCATTCATTCGAAGTGATCCGTTAAAAACGAATATTGAGCATCTTGTGAGTCCCATGCATAATAATAACAAAGCCGGGCCGAAAAGTCCTTCACATTCCGCAAATTCCGGTCAAGGTGTCAATACCTCGTCAGTGTCCTCTTCCAGTAGTAGTAGTCCTACTAGCAGAGGAGGTGGTAGTGGTGCTAATTTGTCCTCCAGTGATCACAACTCTGACACCAGTTTGAGCAGTGGTCTCTCAAACCTAATCACTCCGTTGAAAGCAATCCACGCCAGTTTTCACGACCGGTCCAAACTCTCCAACGCCTTTGCGCCAAGAAGTCGACTTTTTTCGCAAAAGGATAAATCAAAGTCGTCTCCAAAACCTTCTCCTGTGTCACGAAGGGAAAATCATAGTCCCGATTTTCTCGAGTACTTCGGCAACCCGTGTAACCAACTGGCAGTCAATAATTCTCAGCAGCAATCCCCCGAAGTAGGACTCCCCACCCGAAATAATAATAACGCCTACTCGACCCCCGACATACTCGAAAACGTCCTCGGAGTAGAGGACAATGACACCAACTACATCATTCTAGACCGCATCGGGCGACGCGCCTCGGAAGACTTTATCAATCGGAGTAATAACACGAATAGCCTTGTTCCTAAAGGGGGACGAAGTCACTCTTCTTCATCTTCAACAATACCACCAGACGAAAGCATTACTAACAAAACTCCTCACTCCAACAAGAGTAAAAGTCCTCTCATCATAAGTGGGACACCAACTCGACACGACAATCATGTCCAAATTAGTAACAGGAATCTATTAAGAGATCAAAATCATCATCCCCAACAGAATCTAATTCCATGCACAACTCCAACCGTTTCTAATTTGCATACGGATATTAATTACAATAATAATAGACACGTAGTCGTCGCATCTCCTCCTCGTAATAAAAGCAAGCCATCGCCATCGGATACGGAAGGAGGTGGAATTATTGCGATGAATATAAGTGCAATGAAGATGAGTACGGCGACCCCAATGAAGATCTCTTCATCCGCAGCGTGTCGAGCCCAAATAGTTACACTCTCGGCGAGATCGTCATCTGACGAGGCTGACACCACCATCACCACCACGTTAAAGGAACAACAACAATCCACTAAGAAGAATGTAGGGACAGCAGGTGCTGCACATTTAAATTCTAAAGAGTCGTCGCACAACCACCAAAATTTGCATCTGCAGCAGCAGAGTTGTAATAACAACGACCACGACCACCAGAAAGTATGGGCAGATTATCCTTCCACGTCCACCTCCTCCGGCATTAATTCCTCCAATTCGTCGAAACTCACCGAAAGCGGAAGTAAGTCTTCTGTTTGGAATAATTCCAATTATGCCACGAGCACAAGTTGTAATGGACATGGACACAGTGTTTATGACGACAATGATGAATGTGCTCCTGTTCCACCACCGATTCCGAAACGATGTTCGACAACAACAACATCTTCTCATCTTTTGGTCGTGTCGCCAAGATGCAAATCTACACCTGTTCCTCCTCCTCCGATGACTTTTAATGAAATGAAAAGTGTTTCTACTACGAATCCCGTTGTTCTTCAGGGCAGGAACAATGACACCAAAAGTGCACGACCGCCTCCACCTCCGCCGCCGAAACGCAATTTTACTAATGGTTCAAGTAGTAACTTGATAGTTCGGTCGGAAAAGCGCTTAAATAGTTTGATGCATTCCTTCAGCTTTAGTTTTGGGAGGTCGAAATGTGGGAACAACGGATGTGGTCGTGGTGGGATTTACTCACCCTTGGAAAATGAGACAATTCCAACTCCACACTTGAATAGGAATCGTTCCAGATCGTTGCCAAAGTCATTCTTGTCTGGGAACCGGCATCGGAATAAAGGTCAGGACTTGATGGGACGGAGTGCTTTACCCAGGTGAGAAACATGTCACATTTTCCGACAACTTTTACCTACGCGTAAAATTAGATTCATTTCACGAACTCAATCTCATCTCATCCTGTAATCTTATACTCAAAATAATCAACCAACTCGATAATAAGAATGCAACCGTAATTCATATCATAAATAAATAATGCATATGCAAATTCCAATCTGTGCATGTATGCAGCTCTGATTTAGTTAGCATGAAATGCGGTCGGTGGTAATGATTAAAATTGTTATTGCGATGTACGTATACCTACATCGTGCACCTATTATTATGGAGATTTCAGAAATGAGACGGGGTTATCAGGTCAATCATTCTCATAGAACAAGCTGCATGTTTACCACAAACGACGAAAACCATTTTATGGAAGAACCACAGTCTAAATTTCAAATAATAATGTTCCTCAAGTCACAAATTGAAAGGACGCCAGGCCAAAAAATAGTAATCTTATCACTCCTAAACGAGCCATATGACGAGATAAGATGAATACGGGAGATATTCACAAGAAGTACAAATTGTCAATTGTAAAAGTCTTCTGCAATAAATATTCTGCGCTCAGGTTTGTTTCGCCATTCGAAAAATTTATGAAGTTGAAGTTGCACCATAAAGATAAAATTCAAAAGGGACTAATAAAGCTGAAATATAACTCTATTTTATTTTATGGGGGAGAAATACGTAGCAAATCTAACTATTTATTATTCGTATTCTTCCTTACATTCAAATCAAAAGAAGAGAGAGAGAGATACCGAATTAAGATGTCAGATAGTTAAAAAATGGAGTCATAAACTTTAAACGCTACGACAGACGGTTATGGCATGACGAAAAAAAATAATAATTTCCAATTGCCAATTGTTATCCATCCAACTTGTTTAGCTAACTAACTCTGACTTGTTCTCTGAACTGAAGATCTGATTTTTGCGCAAAATCATGTCACAATCAGTGAATCAAAAGGGCACATGGTTTCATATCCCGATTTCACGACACTTATTTAACCGTAGTAAAAGTGACTGACTGAGTGGTCATTAAGGTCCATTTGAAATGTGTCATTGGACAATTGGTAAAAGATTTTCGTTTTAGTAGGTCTATGGGTCTGTAGGGTGGGATGAAAGCATGTGATGTGCTGTAAGTGGAAAAGTAAGTGGATTGTTAAAGCTGAGTGTGTACTACGTACATAAGGAAATTTACATTTATGACTATCTAACTATATTGATGAGAAGGGTTTAATACGACTTCTGCGGTGTGGCATGGCATTGTTGTGGTCTTCAAGATACACAATAATGTAAAATGTTCTGGGAGAGAGATGAAGCTCATTTGCGTTCAGAGATGATCAACCAAACCGACACCGATGATGTGAGATAGCTCACAAGAATCACACACTGTGTCCATTTCTTTAACAAAACTTGGGCGGATAATTCAGTGGCCGCGGAAGTGTGACAATGTCCCCACGGTTATTCGATGTCCGCATCATCTCCCATGTTATTCAAACCTCTTTCTCCCCTATCCAACAATGTTAATGTCCCCAGATGTCCCCACGGCTTCCGCGGCCACCTGGCGGAGATGACAATCTTTTCGACAAGAATTCATTGCATTTTCTCACAGTCTTCCTTCCCCTCTTGACGGATAATATGAGACCGGGCTGAGGCTGATGCTGGTGTGTGTCAGTCATCCCAATTTTTTTGCCCGCAATGAGATTACATATGCGATAATGCACAAATGCAAAGAATTCACATCATCACGGTGGACTGTTTATCTCCTAATTCAGCTAGCGGTGACAAGAATTTATGATATGATTAAATGCTGAGAGGATGAGTTATGGTTGTTTTTAATGAATGTGAAAAAGGCAGTTTTGCCAGGAGGTGGAATCCTGCTGGGTAAATTGCATACTGAATTTTTGCTATATTTCCTCGCCGAAAAGTGGTATGGACATTTGTATCGAAAATAAATTATAGTAAAATCAGGTTGACGTCCAATTCAGCAAAATGAGAGACCAAATTTTGGACAGATCCAGTAAAATCTCGGTGGTGATGGTATAAAATCCTAAATCGGACTTTGAAATGGAACTGGTTCGAATTTAAAAAAGAGATGAGAATTTGGATCACCAGCAGTTGTTTCAAATCTTCTCTGTAATCTCTGCCCTCTTATTAATGAAGGGATGAACCAACAGTTTCTTTAATTGACATTTATATGTGCGGAATTCAGTACGAGAGAATTCCTGGTCTTAATAAATAAACAAGATAGCCAAAAAACACAACCCACTCGCCCTCTCCATAATGAATGAAATGAAACTAGTTTTAAAACACGTGGAAATATTTAACTCGCACAAGTTCAATTATAGAAGCAAACGGTTCGTGAAATTGTCTCAATTTTGAAGAAACGCCTCTTATTACTCCCATCCATCCATCCAGCCAACGAAACTATAACTTATTTACTGTGACACACACAAAAAATCAAGAAAAAATGCAGTAGTACATATAAATTCAACGAGCTATGCAACATCTCCACCCAAAATGCATAGCACAAGGCTTCGCTTTTATTATAGGAATGAATAAATGTGCAGGAAGTGCTGTGTTATTGGCATGTTTAATTATGACATCAAATATTTGACACGATGTGGGTTATGGACTACCAATTAGTCAGGAGGCGGTTACACATAGGTCGGCTTGTCACAGCACGAATTTGCCATATTTTTACCATTCATCCATTAATCCTCCCTAACTATCTGTTATCTATTAAAGGAGCACTGTTTTGCTATTTGCTTCGCGATAACCCTCGCCAATTTGTAAAGTAAAATAAAGGATTTGCGTATCACGTGGGGGACAATATTTTAACAAAGGTTGATTCTTATTAGTCTAGTTTAGCTTGGCAGGGTCATACCCTTATTTTATTTTATGTATGCATTCTCCATCCATAGTTGACAATAATTGTGGGCTCTAAAATTATGATAAATGACGGCATGATTACCTATTATCGATTCAAGATCCCGATCAGGGCGGGTAAGATAAGCCGTTTTAAATAAATGGGCAATTAGTAGAAGGTCATGTGCATACTCGCTTATTTATTTACGTAATCACATTCACGGCATGTCATTAAACCTCTTTTCTGTGTAAATTGTATCCAATTCTTTCCCAAAATGGTGCTGGTGGTCTGGTCTGCAGGTGAACCGTTTTGTTGTCTCGTCCTTTGGTCGTCGTTTGTTTCATGTAATGAGTTTTTTTTTCATTACGTTGAAATCGAAATTGTTAAGGGAAATGGGATGAAGTGAATGTCATTAACAAAGTGGTGGTGGGTCTAAGAAATTGTAGTTTTAGACAATAAATAAAATGGTGAAAAAAAGGTGGACGGATTTTGATGACAGAGAACACGGAACCAATTCAATACCTCTTTGTTTCGTAATGTGAATATCCTGTATTTGTCTAAATTTAGAATGCGATGATAGATGCATCTGTGTACCTGAGGCATTTTCATCCTCATGAAAATCCCGATGACGACGAATATCCGTGCCTATTTATGTATACATAATTTGATTAGTTTGCCTTGACATGGGGAAAACATGTGTAGAAAAAATGAAATTGAAAGGTTCCAAATACTCAGAAAAATTATAATCTAACGCGCAATTCATGCATACATTAAACAGTTACGTTAAATAAAACCCGGGGGTTTGTTATGTAACTAACTACCTAACTCGAAATAATACCACCGAAATGTTGCGGCTGACTGCACATGGCTGACCGTTCGTTAAATTGTTCGTTTGTTAAATTGCTACCGTGCAATATCTGTCCCCCATTAATTTTTAGTACACCTACATTTGTTCAAACTTCAAGTTTTTAACTCACCGTGGCAAAAGAGTAAGTGAGTGGGTGGATGGATACGGAAACTGGGAGAATTTGTATTGTTATGTAATGAATGTTGCATTTTATGGAATGGATTGAAATGGAAGGTCACTAACGATTTTGTATACGTATACGTAAACCTAGTCCCTTCCCAATTGCGATCCAAGCCAACATTACATTGTAGCCTCGTTGTTACTGAAATTAGATTGAATTGGTTTCCCGAATGCGGTCATTATCATCGTCATCATCATTATTACCAGTGCTGGTTGTATTGTTATTGCTTCGCAGTGCATGTATGTACACATCTATGTATGCCTATTTTGTACATAGTTTTAAAGTAATTGCACTAAATAAGCCGGCATATCATCAAATCTCAGTGGCCGCGGAAGCCGTGGGGACATCAGGGGACATTACCATTGTAGGATAGGGGAGGGAGGGGTTTATATAACATGGGCAGATGATGGGGACATCGAACAACCGTGGGGACATTGTCCCTCTGTCCGCGGCCACTGTCAACCCTTGACTTTTTTCGTCTCATTCATCCCATTATTACTACTTTGTTTCCACACATTCTCTAAAATATTATAGTTTTGTCGTTATTTCAAACAGTCGTGTTTCAGTCGCGAGTGGGACAAAAAGTCACGTCACTCAGATTACGAATAGATACTAGCCCAAGCTGAACAATGTGACATGCATTTGGCACTGTGTCACAATGGATTAAGACTTCTGTGTCTAACTAACAACTCCTTATTTAATCGTTCAAGTTCGCTGACAGGGACAAAGACAAATGCACTTAAGACATAAAATAGCAAAGTAACATTATTGTGCAAGTTAGTGCGACAGGCAGATATTATTTAACAGGTACATATTTGCACATACACACATTACTGCAGATACTTAACTCAACTTAAAGCCGACACACCTGCCCTCCTCCTTCCTCCCTCACCTTGAATTGGGAGGATAAAAAGCAAAGAGATTATAAAATGTCCATAAATAGAGAAAAGTTTAGTCACAGAGGCAAAGTACAAATAATACGACTCGGCTTCTTATAACTACCTTGATGAAAAAGTGCATTCAATTCAAATTATCTATAACCAAGCCGTAATAATGAAGTAATGAAGAATACAATGGAGTTTGGTTTGGTGTTCCTGTGCCACTAA